GGGGAGGGGTGGAGAGACAGAGGGACAGAGAAAGAATCCCAAGTAGGCTCTGCACTGTCAGCACAGAGCCCAAAGCAGGGCTTGAATTCATGAACTGTGAGATCATGACCTGAGCCGAAGTTGGACGCTTAACCGACTGAGTCACCCAGGCGCCCCAGTCATCTTTTTTTTTTTTTTTTAAGAAGTTATCCTACCTCTTTTTCTTAAGTTTATTTATTTTGAGAGACAGAGAGAGGAAAAAAGTGCAGGTGAGGTAGGGGCGGAGAGAGAGGGGGAGAGAGAGAATTCCAAGCAGGCTCCGCACTGTCAGCACAGAGCCCGACGTGGGGCTCGAACTCATAAGATTGTGACCCGAGCCGAAGTGGGATGCTTAATCGACTGAGGCCCCCAGGCGCCCCTGTATGTAGTCATCTCAAGTACAAATGTTGTATCAGAGTCTACTAAACTGCCCTGATAACCAAGAAACTACAAGGCCCCATCCCCATGCATTTCTAGTGTCACTGCAATATGCACACTGTAACTGAGAGGGGGCTACGTTACTGTTTAGGGGACGGACAGAGGGACTGCAAAACTGAGATCCTGCTCATGGGATGTGAGAAGTTACACCGTCACAGCAAAGCACAGCCAGGGGGAGGGTGAACAGTCTGGCGGGGGAGCAACGGTGGGCGTGTAGAAGACGGCGCTCGAAGTGAGGCCGAGTGACCGGCAGGGCTGGCTCTGATGACACCGTTGAGCCGCTGTGCCGGGAGGAGGGCGGACTGCTTCACCGTGAGTAGCTGAGAGACCATCTCACGAGGGGAAGTGATCCGTGCTTTCAAAGTTTCTTCTGATGTTTATTTTTGAGGGAACACAAGTGGGGGCGGGGCAGGGTGAGAGGGGGACAGAGGATCCAAAGCAGGCCCTGTGTTGACAGGCTGACAGCAGTGAGCCCGATGTGGGGCTCGAGTTCACGAACCGCGAGATCATGGCCGGAACCGAAGTTGGGATGCTCAACCGAATGAGCCCCCCAGGCGCCCCTAAAAGATAACCAGCGATACACAAGAGCTAGTGGAGGGAAGCAGAGGCGGAAGGCAGGCAGACTCTTGCTGGAATAGGTCAAAGAAGTGGGAAGAGTCTGAACCAAGGCGGAAGTGACACAGAGAAGGAGGGGAGAGGGGAAGGTTGAGAAACGCTGATGTGACAGCAACAGGACTTTGGAAGGGACCACACATGGCTGCAGGCAGAGAGGTGAAGCAAAAGAATAAAGTGGGGATAACTCCGAGGTTTCTACTTCGATGGTCTGGTGCGTGATACCCTTAATCAAGAGAGGAAACGCAGGAACGAAGAGGTTTAAATGCTGGAGTGAGGGCAGTGGATGTGCTCGATTTGAGGCATGTCGGACCTGAGTGTCCTAAGGCACATCCATCAGCCAATGTCTAATGGAAGGTCGGGAACAGACAGCAGAGAACAGACTTGGGTGCACAGGGGGCTGTGGAAGTGTGTGAAGTGATGAGATGCCCCAGCAAGTGATACGAGGTAAGCTGGGAGCTGGGCGTAGGGCGGAGGCCAGCGGCCAGCAGACGAGGACGACCCAGGGGGACACTGAGTCAGACAGCCAACAGAGGAGAGCCCTTCACAGAGGAACAGAAGCCACCAAACGCTGCAGAGACACTGAAGGAAGTCACCTGCCTTGTCACGCAGCTGCTGGTGACCTCAGTGACATTTGTTTCCAGAGAGTGGGCAGCAGAAGCGGGACTGCGGCGGGTTGAGGAAGCCGCATGTGGAGAACAATCCTTTGAGAGATCTGGGCTAAGGGGAAATCTGGGAAAGCGGTTTGGGAGGCATGGCCCGTGAAAGCCTACAGAACGGGAAGCCTTCTGCTGACTTTATAAACCCTTAGGGAGTCCTTGCTATGTCCCAGGCACTGTACTATACTTCTCACAGACATTAACTCATTTAGTCCTTGGAGTGGTTCATTTTTTGTGTCAGCTCAGCTAGGCCATGGTCTCAAGATACTCGGTCAAACACGTATGGAAGTTGCCGTGAAGGCATTTTTAAAATGAGATTAACATAAAAAAAATAAAATGCGATTAACATACAAATCAGGAGGCTGAGTGAAGCAGATTACTCTTCATAAGGTGGGCGGGCCTCATCTAGTAAGTTGAAGGCACTAAGAAAAAGACTGAGCTCCCTTGAGGAAGAGATTCTGCCAGCAGACTACCTTCGGGCTCAAACTGCAACATCAACTCTTCTCTGGGTCTCCAGCCTGCTGGCCCACCCTGCAGATTTTGGACTTGTCCGCCTCCACAAATCTAGTAGCCCCTGCCTTGAAATAAATCCCTCTCGTTCCTTTTTTTGGGGTACACACACATATCCTATTGGTTCTGTTTCTCTGGAGAACTCTGACTGATACACTCTTTGTAACAACATGAGGTACTATTATTACCAACCCCATGTCACAGTTGAGGCAACTATGGCCCAGAGATGTGAAGTAACTCGCCCCAGGGGCACACAGCCAGTGGGTAGCTGAGCTGGAATCCCAATCCAGGGTGTCCCCAGAGCCCTGGCTCTTAAGCACATGCCATGCTGCTGCTCCCGGGCACATTTGGGGCCAACTGGGAGGTCCAGGGAGAGAAGCAGAATATAAAAGGGAATAGGAGCCCCGACAAAAGCATGTCTTGCACAAATGAGAAAACAGGCACGGTGATTCGCTCCAGGCGGGACCTACAGCTTTACAAGGAGCAGAACCAGGCTTTCAGGAGACGGAATACAAGCTGTCTCCCTTCTGCTTGCTACTTTCTCCTGTGTTCTTCTGAGATTCTCTCAGTCACACCCCTCCCGATCTGTCTTCTCCTGGGAGGCGCAGGGCTCCTTACGACCTGACCTTCATCACAGAGCCTCAAAAAGTCACTACACTGTGGAGAACACACATCAGCGGTTAGCACGTCTGTCCCAGTGCAGGATATGTTACTGCAGTGGCACCACCCATTCCTCAACATCAAGTTTAGTACATCTGGGAAAATCAGTGAATTCCACACAAATAATTATGGCGCCTGTTAGTAGTTATTTGGAAAGCAAAGCAAAACGAAACAAAACCCCACCAAACCCTGAATACCGAACGGGCGTTTATTTTCAAATATAAATTCCCAGAACTCTAATTTGACTACTCAAGGCAAGAGGTTATCTTTGAAAACACATTTGATATCAACCACCGACCCCTGCTAAGAACCGAAGGGGTACAGGAATGCAGGTGGTGTGAAAATCTAAGCACACGAGCGCGTGTGCCCATCACGTCGTGATGATCGTCAAATGTGAAACTTCCCAGAGAAAAATGTGAAAACATGTATTAAAAGCTTTAGAATTTTGTACTTATTTACTTATTTATTGAATTTGAGAAGCGGGGGGAGAGGGACAGAGGGAAAGAGAGAGAATTCCAAGCAGGCTACACCCTCGGCACAGAGCCTGACGTGGGGCTCGATTCCATGACCCTGGGATCGTGACCTGAGCCAAAACCGAGTCAGATGCTCAACTGACCAAACCAGCCAGGGACCCCTGGCACTCCTAGAATTTTATACACGTTAAAAAAATTTTTTTAAGTATGTTCTGTGTCCAACATGGAGCTTGAACTCACCACCCTGAGATCAAGAGTTGTATGCTCCACCCGACTGAGCCACCCAGGTGCCCCGTCCCCATGTATGTTTTTAATCCAACAGCTCCACCTCCTCTAAAATATTATCCTGTGGAAATAATCATGGCCGTGCCTAAAGATTTAGCTACAAAGATATTTATCACAGCACCGGTAAGAATAGTAATGTTTTCTCCAATTACAGGGTAGGAAGCAACCAAAGTATGACACATCCATATAATGAAATGCTATGCAATCATCAATTTTGACATTGCAGAGTAACAGCTGATGCCACGGAAAGATGTTTATGATATACAAGCGATTCTTAAAAGCAAGTTATAGAGGAGTACCTAGCATATAATCTCGTTTCTGTTAAAAATCTATTTTGTGGAAGCCAGCCTTTCTGAGAGGACCCCAGTGATCCCCACCTCCCGGTGTCTACACGCCTGTGCCGTCTGCCCCACACAGTACCAGCGTCGGGCTCCATGACCAACGGTGCACGGAAAGAAGCGATGGTTTGTCATTTTCACACGAGGCCATAGAAGACTGTTGACTTCTGCTTTGCCCACTTGTGTTTCTGTATTTTTATTTTATTTTGTTTTTCCTCTGGGTCATTGGCTCCAGTGAAAGCAAGTGCCCATGTTGTGGGCCGCCCTATGGAGAGACCCACATGGCAAGGAACTGAGGGCTCTGGCCAGCAGCTAGTGAGGAGCTAAGGCCTGCAAAACACCCGTGAGTGAGACTGGACGTGCAGTCACTAGCAACGCACCCCCCCCCCCCGCCCTCCAGACGGCTACCTTGTTGGAGAACCCGACCCAGAACCACCCAGCTAGTTGTGTCTGGATTCCTGACCTCTCGACATGTGACGCAGGAGATGTGCACGGTTGTTGAAAGCTGCTACGTTTTAGGGCAATTTGTTAAGCAGCAATAGATACCGAACACGCGTGTGCATGGCGAAATGACCAGAAGGATATAATCCCAAATGCTATTTGTGGTTTTTCTCTAGGTGGTGGCATTGTGGGTAATTTTTATTTTCTCTTCTGGTGTGTTGTTGGCAGTGTTTTTCCTTTTTCATGAAACAGAAAACCACGAGGGATCAGAGAACCTAGAGCATAAAATGATAAAGATCAGGGGAGCCAATTTTAGCTCTAATAACCTTTAAAGATTCAAGTAAACTGACTTAAATGTACACACAGAAACAAAAACAAAAAACCCTCCCAAGAGGTGCCTGCCTGGCACAGTGGAGTGTAAGCTTCACCTACCAGAAACCATGCGATACGCTGTGGGCAGCAGAATTCGGTAACTTCAAGGAAAGGAGACTTGCACAGATATCTTAAAAGGAAAAATCAAACAGGAATGAAGTCACCTGCGAGCCAATCACTGGAGTCTTGCTTACCCAGCTTCTGGTCAAATCGCCACGCCGCGACATAGGCATTGTGCCTCAGACTGCTCTGGGTGGCCAGGGGCACGGTGACATAAATGGGGCCGTCCACCAGCACTGGCGTTCCATCACTGCTGAGCAAGTGGACACTGACGGCCGTGACTGGGGTCAGGTCATACCTGGTGCCGTTTCCTGGAAGCAAGAGGGAGTATCCATCACGTGCACAGAAGGGCCCTATGTGGGGCTGCCGCAAACGTTTGCCAGAAAATAGCAACAGCTAACCATTCACTGAGTACCTGCTATGTGCCAGGGACTAGACGCAGCACTTTACATGTATAAAATCCTCACCACTTTGTATGTACAGATACCTCACCACGGCTCCATAAGGTAAGTAAAATCCACACTTTACGCACAAAGAAACCGGCCCAGAGAGGGTAGAAACGGGAACTGGCCCCAAGGGCATGGTGGGATCTGGGATCGAAGCTCTCAGGTTTGCTGCCTCTAACTACTGAGCCTTGCTTTCAGAAAGGGCCTCGAAAGGAAGAGACCCCTCTGTGGTGTCAGAGGAGGGTAAGTGTAGAAATCCCTGAAATCAACCCCTGCACAAAGTGAGACCCACACACGTTAATGACTCGGCAGATCGCCATAATGAAACCAAATGTTTTACATTAGAGGCTGCTTTCAAAAAGAAGGGGGGGGCGGTGTTTTCAAGGAGTGCCTCAAAATATTAACTTACTTGTACTCAAAGCACCCTACTGAAAGCTCGGCCTTGAAAGATTTAGGAGTTAATTTTAGGTGCCACTGTTATTTTGATCTGTTTAAAAGGAATTTAACATGCCAATTATTCTACATCAGGGGCCTTTTCTCTAAGCCAAGCCTTTAACGACTGCCTACTTTATAGATAAATTAGGGACTGCTGAGGACAGCGATATTATATTTATATACTTAAGCGATCCATCGTAGAGCAATTTTTCTGCAGTGAAATATAATCTCACACAAAATGTTTACGTCGTAATTTTAAATCTTGAGCACAATGACAAACGCACAGTGATAAAAAAATTTAAGCTCCATTAGAATATAATCTATAGGATTTCTTATTAAGCTGCTTACATAGGTTATCTACCCATCAACTACCTGAGCTACTGCAAACCACCACTTAGGACTAGATGTAAACGTTTAGAGCAACTGTAGTGACTTTTAGAGTTTTCAACACAAGTGATGGCCAAACCCTTTGTAGAGCAAATTATATATAGGTCACAACAGCACTACCTTCTACGATTTATGGCCATCTGTTTGTCATTGAAGGGACGGGCACAGTAATAGGAATTTCGTCAAAAGGTCCATGTTGGAATCACAGGCTCAAGTTCTGAAATCTTTTAGTCTGGCCTTTTCTTTTTAGGGCCCAGAAAGCCAAAACCCAGAATTTACCATATTTCTGGTCAAAATATCTGCTGGGATGAGACCTAAAGCAGTGCCTAGTGTCCAAAGGGGACGTGGAGGCAAAACCGGGTCTACAGTGTAGCTCCCCAGGTTCTGTTAGACCCTCTGGATGGGACAGAACTGCAAGCAAAGAGAAATTAAGTAACTTACTAGACTCTGTATAAACAACTTATCGATAACGGTTTCAAACCCGAAGTGCTGCTTTCAGCAAACCCGAGGCAGGAGAGGGAAGCAGCAGGGAGGGCAGGAACGCCTTCCAGACTCATCATCCAGCCTTTCCTCCCACTTAACTCTGCCTCCTGATCCCCATTCATCACCTTTCAATCCTCCCTTCCTATTTTCTTGCACATTCCTGGCCCACGGAGCCGGGGTTCCAGTCCCAGAGGCACCACTAGCTGTATCTGTGGCCTCAGGCAGGCTACTTTGCTCCTCTGGGATTTGTTTTCCTTATCTGCGTTATCTGGACTAGATGCTTTACCTAGGACTTGAGGGAAAGAAACAGGCTCAGCTCTAAATATTCAGAAGTAATCACAGCATCGCACAAAAGGGCTTATCAATTTAAAGTTACATACGTTAGGTTCTGGAGATTTAATGTTCTTTGAAAAGTTCTCTGTTCAAAGACCCAGCAGGCAGCTGTACCTGCTTTCTCAGTGCTCCGCTCAATGCCCACTCCTATCCCACGCCTTCCAAAATACCCTCCCTTGTATCCTCCCACTTTCTTTATTCTGGAACGATCCATACTTTGAAGGATTCCATTGTTTCTGTTCCAGCCCTTGTTACAAGACTGCAACTCTACAGGAAACACTGAGTTCTGTATACAGTGAGGACTTTCCTTCTTGTTCCCTCTTGATGTTACCAGGCTCCTGTCACGTCTGAATAAAGACAGGTGTCAGGCAAAGGCAGCAGGGGGAGGGGGCAGCACCACTGGACCAAGCTTAGCAGGCCCCGGACTCATCCCTTCTAATATGAGGGGTTTCGCTCAAATAGCATCTCGGGTTCTGCCTGGCTTTGCATCCTGCTACCAACTTCGCTGGGTGTTAGTCCTTCTAACTTCTAACTAACTGACACCTCCCTGTCTTCCTAGAGTTACTAGCGGAAGTTGTTTCTTGAGAACCGCTTGGGAATGTCAGAACCGTTGTGTGCAAGAAATCTCTTATCAACCAGAGTGGGGACTGTGATTCTCTCAAGGTGCAGTGTCTGTGGCCTGTGCAAGGAGGCTGCCCCGTGTGACGCCAGGACACTATGGAGCAGGTGGACGTGGCTGGACAACGGGGAAGTGGCCCAAATCTCCCCGCGGCCGGGTTTCTCTATTGACGACTCTGGAAACCCCCTCTGAACCGGACAGCATCCTCTGAACGAGGACACTCTGGGGAGACCAGCCTGCAGAACGTTCTCCAATCCTGTCTGTGGGCTCCACGCACTTTTGCTGGACTCTCGTGACGACCTGCCACCTTACCCTGGCGTGCGTGGGCCAGGCCCTCACGCAAAGCCGTAATCTCTTAGATGCATTTTATCAAACAGGAGGGAGGCAGGCAAGCAATCGTGGGGAAGAAGAGAGGCTGTGCACGATGTGAAACTGGACACAGGCACCTGGCTGATGAGATGTCGGGGTGCTAAGCGGACCCCACGTGCCCACGCCCTCCTGGGCTGTGAGCCAGCACACCGCCTTTCCCGGCGGGGCTCAGGCAAGGTCTGATTCTTCCCACATCAAGTATTAGTTATTTCAGTGGGAAAGAGGGTGCACGTAACCTTCTAAGGCCTTCTTTCTTCCCCCCCTTGAAATAACAGTCATTTTAAAATAAAACAAACTCCTCTAAAATCAATAGTCCTATGTCTCTGTGTTCTTCTCCCTTGCCCATCGTCTCGGATTTCATAATTTATTCAAGAGCTCTTGGAAACGGGGCACAGAAAAATTAGTGAGCTCTGAGGAATGAGGTCGCCCCCTCCAAGTTAGGGTTTTATGCTTGTGCATCATTTACTGGAGAGAATGGGTACAGGTCTCAAATCGTACATTTTCCTGTTCCCTGAAATGCTACTTTCTCCCAGGCCTGTAAGTCAACATTCTCTCCCAGTAATACTTACTCAGAGTGGCTACCACCCATTTTTATCTGATGGCCAATTACAGATGCATTAATTGCACCTTCATACAAAAATTAAAGTATGAAGAAACATTTCTGAAGGCAGGTTCCACAGACGGACAGGTGCCACAAAGGCGAGCAACAAATCACCAGGTCATCTTGATCGGTCCCCAGAAATCTGTCAGCATTCTACAGAACGGATCAGATGCTGCAGGTGTAAAAAGCTTTTTCAGAAGGACCCAAGATCCGCTTAGGCAAAGCCCTGGACAGTTCAGTGAAATTCAATAGAAGCGTTTCTGGGAAATGCAGTCACCTCCTCACCTAGCAGGATTTAACCCAGAACAGCCTCTGGTTTTCACGTCAGAAGTGTGGGGAAAACAAAAGGGGATACAAGAAATGATTCAGGACTTCAGAGTCTGCTGCTTTCCATTCACTAGGACTAGGGGCCATGTTAGTGCCCAGTGCACTGTTGGCTGAGAACCAGTCTTTTACTGACAAGGAATTATTACATATTCTCCAGCTGGTGGTTTTTGGTGTCTCTGATTTTTTTTAGCTCTGTGTATCATGCGGGCATAGGGTGACATTGACGGAGCTCACGCAGAGGTCTGTCAGGAGAGGATTCAAGTCAACTTCAAAGCCTGGCCACTGTTTGTCAAGTCCAGGCAGAGGGAACAGCACGGAGGATGGGCAGAGGTGAGAACACGCTGGATGTGTACAGACGGAGGCGAGCAGAGGCTCCCATTCCGAAATGCTCCCGATCCTAGAAATGGCAGCCCCCTCGTCCCCACTCTCGGCACCAGACCAGTGCCACCTCCCCTCCCCACTGTGACACGTGGGTGGGCGGGCTGCATCCTGCAGGCTCCAGGGGTCAGTGGGGACGAGGGGCAGAGAGCCCCTCACTCGGACCTTACCCTTGGAAAAACACGAACACAACAATTTCAGTGGAAAGCACGTCTCTGAAGTCTACCAGAGGGGAGCTCAGAAGGTACAGGAGGCAGAATGACTGAAGGAGACAAAGTCATGAAAATACACCGCAGCGGTGTAGACCGGATTCCTTAACTAACACAGTTTCAGCACACTTGAACTTCCCGGCTTCGGTTCTTTCATTTGGTACGAATCCTCCCCGCCCCACGGAAAAATCCAAACACGGAAGCCCCAGCTGAGCAGGGGAGAGACTCAGATTACCTGTTCCGTTCCCGTCTAGTCCTCGCAAGTAGGGAAAGCTGTCCACCTCGGACGGGGAGCTGGCGGCAGTGAGGAAAGCCGTCAGGTCACTGTAGCTGGTGTTCTCCGGCAACCGCAGAGCTCTCCTCTGGAAGTGAACGCGAGGCTGTGGCCGGGCACCTGCAGAAATGGACTTCTGAGTTACCTCCCGAAGGGGCAGTAAATCTAAGGAAACCAGGAAGTGCTTCTCCACGTTTTGGCACGCCTCCTCCCCCCCCCCCCCCCCCCCCCCCCCCCCCCCGCGGCTCCTCCCCTCCCCCATTCACGGCAGGGCGCAGAGATGTGACAACATGCTATTATGGGGACAGGAATAATAGCCCATTGTCACATTTGTTTTGACACAGGATGTTATTTGGGTTTTTAACAAAAAGCTTTCCTAAGTCCCATTTGTGAGCAAGCTTTTCACTGCCCAGCGTGTGCCTATGGATGGGGGTAACGTTTTGGGAAAGGAAGTCCACATGAGGGAAAGGAGTAGATGACAATTCATCTCTTTACATAAACAAAGCAAGAGATACCCTTTGATCCCGTTATGCACGCCTCCTTCATCTGGCAAAATCTGGCTTAACTCCACACACCACACAGCAGCAGAGCAAAGGGAATTAAGTGTGCAGCCTGTACAAGAATTACTAACAAGAGCCCAACAGTACCGAACCCCCTTCGGTGGAAGCTGCCACGTGCTATCCGGGCTCTGCCTGCAGGGTGCACAGCTTATGTCGAGAATTTTGGGATGAGACACCCCTGAGTGGAGTGGAGGTGCTGTGCCTCCGTCACACCCAGCTCCTGGGTGCAGAAGGACGGGGTGGCCCCACTCAGAAGGCTACCCTGTGACAGCATCTGCAGTTCGACTGTGCTCCACACGCTGTTTTGATCGCAAAGCCTGAACCCGTGTTCACCTAATGGCTCTGGTGACAGTCTCAAGATGTCAAGGTGCTAAGTCGTCCTTAAGGTGCAAAAACATCCTTAAGACAAAAAGTAACCGAAGTGGGAATGATAGCACCTTACCAATGAAAGTGCACACTCGTGCGGATTGAAAGAGTGATTCCTCAAAAGCAGTGATCCGCCTTGGTGCTCGGGTCACTGCATAGCCTGCCCAGGGCTTGAGGTTTCCCCCATGGTCGGCTGGGGGCTCCCCCCGCCACAGTCCACGGCTGTCAGGCACCACAGCCCTGCCCTGAGTGGACAGTCTTTATGCCGACTCCAGGGTTCCTTTTAACCCTGGGTCAGAAACTTTCCAGTGGGGAATAAGCTTATCCGAAAGGGTTCTAGCATAAGGGGGTTTTAGAGCTCAAAGGATCAACTAGTCCACATCTCTCTTCTACAAGTGAGGCCACAGAAGCCCAACGGATGTGAAGTCCCGGGGAGGCGGGCTGGCGCGTGCACAACCAAGGTGGCCGAGAGCCAGATGCTCTCCATACCTCCTGAACATCACTGGTTACAGGTCTCGGATGACTGGTGTGCACTCCATGAAACACAAGCCCCGCTCTAGGGCCCACGGGAGCCAGAGGCCCAAAGCCATGACTCCTCTGTCTTCAGTCACCTCCGCTGAAGGTAACTGGACCCACATGCAGTGCTGTTTCAACCACCATTGCCTCTCTGTACCCCTACAACCTGTGGCGAGGCACCAGCATCCAAGTATCTGTCTCTGTTCACTCCCAGCTCTGCTCAGTCTGGTCTCTTCCTTTGATTTCACAGAAGACTGATGTCTTCCGCCTGTCACCTCCTTGGTATGCACAGAGTGCCGACACCTCGCGTCCCCCAGGAGCACCCCACGCCCAGCAAGGAGCACTCTGCTTCCCTGATCTCCTCCACCCCCCCCCCCCCCCCCCCCCCGCACCCCGCTGCGCTCAGAGATGGAGAGTCAAAGGCAACGCTTCTTTTCTCGTCTCTTCACCCCCAACTACAGAACATCATTCGCTGCTCCTATCGTGTGGTTTTCAATGGGAGTGAACCTTCTGAGACCTTTACTTCCCTTTCTCCACTGTCCTTCAGCTAAACAATGCTGCCGGCTGCCTGCCTGGGTTTCACGCGGTGGGGGAAACAAAGAACTTGCAAATACGCAGAGAAGGGTGTCTCAAGTGTGACAGGGCAAAGAGAGACTTGTCTTCATGAGGGCTGAGGAAGAGCAGGGTGAGATCCACATGCAGCTTTCCAGGCCTCGGGAATAGCCGCTGTAAGATGGGAAGGCTGAGATTTTTGCAAAGGCTCCTCCGGCTGGAAGGAAGAGAAATCTCCTCAAGCTAGACCAAGGGAAGAGGGTGGCTGCTGAAAGGTGAAGGGGGAATCAGACTGATGCCCTCATGGGGACTGGCTGGAACTTGGGAGACTCCAGACCCCAGTGCACCCCAGCTCTCAGGGGCCACTGGCTGTCTCTCCTGCCCGCCCTTCCCGTCTCCCTTCCTCTCTCCCTCACCCCTCCCTCTAACAGGCACGCAGCCTTCTCATGTTCTCTGGCATATCTTGCCTTTCAGTGGGAGATGCGTCTCAGTCCCCTCCCCACCTCTCCTCCCCACCCTCCCCACCTCTCCTCCCCACCCTCCCCTTCCTTTTTTGTGCCAAAGAACTTGGTCACTGGCCAGACATCTGGGGTCTATCTGCTGTGGCTGCCAGGTGGGGGGCACAGACGGGTGATGCCTGGGGAAGGTTTACTAGAAGGGGGTGTGGCCTGTCCAGCCGATTGGACACACGCTGTGACCAGCATGACACGGACACCTGTCTGCTGAGGGACCGAACACACTTCCCGACACAGAGCAAAGGCCAGACCTCTGCCTGCTGACATGACCAAAGAAATACGGGAGGAGAGAGTTATGTTAAGGGTCGAAGTTACTCTAAGCCTCGGTGTAAATGAAATACAAAGTGTCTGCGTGGGGTTGGGGGAGCGGTCATGACCTCAGGCCCATCTTCCTGTATTAGCGCTGCTAGATTTCTGTAATTCCAGGACGCGGTGTGATGGGCTGGAGACAGGGGAGGGACAGAAGGGGATGGGACTGGCTAGGTCTTCTCCGGATGCCTCTCCCACATTCTCTGCAATAGTGGTTTTTCAAACTTTCTCTGTTCTTCTCAAACTCTGTGTGATATTCTGTGGACGCTCCCGGCTACCCAAGAACAAAGGAAAGGGGCTTAAGTGCCTGCCACTGTAATATGGGAAACTAAGGCAAATGGAAAATTAAATTCCCTTACTGCCTACAGCCCACTGACAAGTCCTTGAGACCGGCACAGTGACCTCCCTCTAGGAGCTCAGCTGCCTCGAGGATGACACTTTGCTGGGGGCAAAAGAGAACCTTAGTTTAACACCATCCCAACCTCCAGGATGCTATAAGTCAACTTCCTTTATCTCAACTGCCCCAAGCTGCATGCTGGCAATCATGCCCCAAGCTTATGGGCCCCTGATAAACATCTGTAGGGTCTCAAGACTGAGGTTTTATAAATGGTAATAAATGATATTTCCCTAGCAACAGCTGGCCCCTCAAGGTCCTGGAAACCTTGCTTCCAAAATTCCTCGGAGACTTACTCTATCCCTGACCCCCTCGCAACCTGAGGGTATATAATCAGTTACCTGTCACAACCCCAGTGCAGCTCTTCCTGCCCATGGGTCCTGTTCTGTGCTTTAATAAAATCACCTTTTTCGCACCAAAGACGTCTTCAAGAATTCTTTCTTGGTGGCCGGCTCCGGACCACCCCACTGTCACCCTAAAACTTGATCATGTGTTACCAAAACTGCTGGGGCCACCCCTCCTGTCTTCCCTCTTCTCTTGTCCCTTCTGTCCCCCGTCTCCTCCACAGTCAGCCCAAGCCTCTAGCCTACCTTCTGCGTGTCATACAGCAAGACTTGCACAGCCAACTAATCTTGCCTCCGTCCATCATTTTCTCTACAGGCTTTTCCTCCACAACCAACAAATACACCCGTCTCTTCCTCATCTAGAAAAATAACACCGAAACATGACCTTAATGCCGTTACCCCCAAAAGCGAAGGCCTCCTCTCCCTCCACCCAACGCCCAGCGATCTGGCTTTTACTTACAACACACGCTGCGCTCGTTAATGTCAATGGACAACTGTATAATCTGTGAACCCGTGACCACTTCTCAGCCTTCCTCCTCGCTGACCTCTTCACAATGGTCAACACTGTTCGTCGCCCCCGCCCAGGAACCCCTCCTGCTTGGCATTCGTGCTCCTGGGCTCTGGTCTCTCCAGAGTCAGCCGGCTTTTTCCTCTGCAAGTGCTTTTTTTTTTTTTTTTTTTTTTTTTTTTTTAAATCTCCTCCCACCTCCGGATGAAACAGTTCCTAAGGGGCTGCCTTCAGCTGCCTCCGTAGTAGTTTCTGGGCTCTCTCCTCACTGACTCCCCTCCACGGTGGCCTTCCTGTCCGCCCCATTTCTGCATTTCCTCTGCCTTCCAGACACCTCCACCTGGATGCCCCACAGGCGCATCAACACCATCACTTACTTCCTCTTCCATCTAACACCCCCTACCCCATTCTGCCCAACACCTAGCTTTGCTTCCAGGACGCCATCATTTTCCCTTTCTATTATTCTGTGCATTCATTCCCTGCCAGGACTGGCCAGTCTCCTTCCCAACATTTCCAGCATCGTCGTCTCCTCCTTCTCTGCCCCCACCTTGCATTACCCTGCCTTACCCCTTGCCTTAACTGTGCTCCAGCCTGGCCACCTTTTTCCCACTTCGTTTACAGATACAACCCTTCTCAGCCCAGAGACCTTCAACGGATCTCCACCACTTGGTAAATTAATGATGGCAGCGACAATTACAGAGCAATACAGACCCCAATTACTATGCTTCTCGTCCTGTGACAGGTAGAGTTCAGTGCTTTAGAATGTACATAGTTCTTCCATACACATTATTTCACTTACTGTTTACAACAGTCCTGTGAAGGAAGAACCCTCTCTGCTTTCCGAGTGAGGCTAAGTGACTTGTCCACAGGCATCTCGTTAGTAAGAGACAGAAAGGAATTCTTGCAGTCCTGGCTTCTGTTCCCCTCCTAGTTCACCACGCCTACCTCGGAAGAGATGCTGGACTTCCTGACAATTGGCTCTCACCTTCTGGCCACGTGGGACTGCCTGGCTCTGTGCTTCCACACGTGCTCATGTCTCTTCTCCACAGTCTCTAC